TCACGAATCGCAACGGAGGGGAAAAATGCGGAAACCACATCATCTCAAGTAAGCTCAACACTGCACAAATTCACTTGAATTTCTTTGTGTCTTTTTGATGTTATCAATGATGAAGTGAAAATCATCACTGTGCCAATTGCAGTCATTATTAGAATATCAACATGGACATTTTTACAAATTGTGTTTCCCTATTGGGGTAAGTCATGATAGTTTCCCACTCAGATTTTGCCTCCATATGCTTATTATGCGGTCACTTGGTGATTATCAACACCAACGCGTTCTGCATGGCAACAGAGTAAACTCTGCAATGCATGATACATGTTGTATAAATATGGCTTTTATAGGACAATTACTCGGTGTGTTATAGCTGCCGAAGCGGAAAGTTTGGGGAAGGCCTAGTCATGATTTGATTTAAAGCTAAAGCACACGGTGACAATTGAATTCGTGCACGTGACCGTGTCGAGTTCAGATAAAGCGGAGTGGAGTCTTGAATCTGCCGGCCTCGTCGACAATTGATAATACTAAACTATACGGCAGCAGTAATGCATTTGACCTTACTCTTCCCACTTTTCACATATCAGTGACATTCTTTACCTTTCGTGTTATATTTCATTTCATTATGATTATGATTATAATTATATAATTCCGCGTGAAGAACGGTGTACATTTCGAACTGTAATGTAAGCATATATGCTTAGACAAGTCACACAAATACAAACAAAGATATTCAAAAAAATGTTTTTTTTTTTCTCAGTCACTCTCTCCGTCTTTTGCTTAGAGCCAATTTTTCTTCCAGTTTATTTTTTTTTCAATTATTCACAGACACCAATCCAATTCCGAAGCACCGAAAGCGCGGTGTTATGCGTCACGGAAACAGAATGAAATTCAATTTGCCTATGTCTGTTTTATTTTCCCAGATATAATTTTGTACTCGTTGAGGTCTGCTGAAGTCCTGATTGTGACTGAACACACGCTTTCAATTCAAAAACGATCCCCGGGACACATATATATATATGTGTATATATTACTATACTTTATATCTTTATCTGATAGATTCTGTTCAGTTTTACTATTTTTATTCTCTCTCACTCTGGTGATCCTTGAGATTCTGGCTTTTTAATGTGCGATGTGCAGCTTAAACCTAACCGACAACTGCTTTGTCTGTGACTATTTCCTCCATTCAAATGTTTTTTTTCCCGCTAAATTTCAGACGATTTGTGTGAGACTATTACCATTGATATGGTTCACAGTTTTACGCCTTCTGCTCTTATCACGTTCGATCCTGCCAGGGCAACGTTCCATAAGTGCCAATATCTCTCCCTCTCTCCTTCCTCTCACTGTCTCTCTCTCTCTCTCTCTCTCACGCACATAAACTTCATCACCTTATCAGCCTCCAGTCGGGAAATTCGCCGCTGAACGTCCATGCACTAGCAGGCTTGGAAACGAAAGAACCGTCAACATGGAACCACACATTTACCACTAACAGATGCATTCGGTTCTGGGTACTCTATTTTGGTGTGCGTGTGGGTCTGTGTCTGTGTATATTATGCTTGTGTCTCTGTCTGTCTGGTTGTTTGAATGTCTGTCTATCTGCGAGTACGAATTTGGGATCTGATCAGCTGCGTGCAACTGTTCGACAGCTGTTCTGCTAAGCACACAAACACACAAGCACACACACACATCGAATGCGATCATAAATGTGCGAGAAAAATTGAGAATTCCACAACCGGTTGACAGCCTACAAGCACACACACACACAATTTATGCACCCACGGTGCGTTTATCTCTGCTTACAAGTAGCGATCGTCGAACTCTTGTCTCTTCACACGAGCCCTTTGTCCCATACTACTCGCATTCACGATAGATTGATGTGCATTGTATCGGTTTGGGTGGAAGTTCGATCTCAGAACAAACTGTCCATGGTACCCCAGGTTGGATGAATAATAAGCTTTCCACGCCCGTCATTCATCTTGCGGGAACCACTATAGTCCTTGTCGTATGTCAATTCACAAAAACGGATTGGAACGCCTATGTGAGCTGCCTGGCAAAACGTATTTATTCATTCGGGTGTAGTTGCTGCCGCGGGACACGATCACATGATGCTCGAACTGATCGGCAACATCGGTGGTGGATGCATCAAGGCTAGAGAACCAATGCTCAATAAATATCCAGCGAACATCTACCGGAAAATGTAAAACCGGGGGCGTGGGGAGGGAGACGCTGAACAGAAAACTCAAACCAAAATTCCACTGGCTTATCAACAATCGGAAATCAAACAACTGTGACGGTGGATGACGTATCATTTGAATCCCTAACGGAATTATCCACCCGAGTTTTAATTTCGACGTTGAACAGAGTCTGAGATGAAAGCTGGACTCATCTGCGGTCATTAAATGAGGGGCAAGGGCCGAGCAGAATGTTTCCCGATACGCAGTACACGAGCATGGGGTGCAGATGACCGGGTACAGAAAACATGAACTGCATTAAATTGAGACCATTGTTCAGTGATTGCACCAAATATGAA